AACCTATGTACACATGTGCTTGACGCAACGGATGGATGGATGGAGATAAGAGATGTACAAGCCCCCAATCAAATGATTTTTTTAAAAAAAAGTAGAAGTATGACCAAGTGAAAACAGGCATTAGATGAAAATTTTAATTGTGCTTTTCAAATAAAGTGAGTTGCCCGCGCCATCCGGGTAACTTTTTCTTTGAAACAACACTGTCTCCCAACTAGGAAACACTCACTGCACTTTGCTAACCAATCTGTTCTTGGACCATTAGTTTATCTGTCTCTGTATTCTCTAGGGCAGTGGTTCTCAACCTTCCTAATGCCGCGACCCTTTAATACAGTTCCTCATATTGTGATGACCCCCAACCATAACATTATTTTCGTTGCTACTTCATCACTGTCATTTTGGTACTGTTATGAATCGGGCGACCCCTGTGAAAGGGTCGTTCGACCCCCCAAAGGGGTGGCAACCCACAGCTTGAGAACCACTGCGTAAGGCTACGTACTTATTTCAGATGCATTATAAGTAGGAGCTCCAAAAAGTTTGTGGAGAAATTCCATTACCTCTTCATTCATATTTTTCACAAACTTTCTGAAGCTCCCTCATGCATAGGTAACAAATATGGTTTGCGTCTAACTACTAAACAATAGGTGGGTAGTTTGAGCCCACCCAGTGGTGCCCTAAAAGACCCAACTATCTGCTTCTGTACAGATCCTGGCCAAGGAAACCCGTGGGGCAGTACCACCCTGCACACACGCACGCATACACTGTGTGTCAGACTCGCTTTGGCTTCTTGGTCTACCAGATGATTACGGAGTCCCTGCGTGGTGCAAACGCTTCGTGAGCTCAGCCACTGATCTAAAGGTGGAATGTCCCAGAGGTGGCTCGGAAGAAAGGCCTGGTATCCTAACTCCAAAAACCCAGCCACGGAAAACCCTAAGGAGCACAGTCTTGGTGATGCACACTTTGGTACCTTTATGTCAGGCAGGCCCCAGGGCTGGGGGCGGGGGGTTGGGGGGGAGGGGGGTGGGCGCCTCCCAGGTCCCCTGTCCATCACTATGGCCACCAAAGATGGACCTTCGGGGAAGCCAACGGTGCAGTGGTTAAAATTAACACATATAAC